TTGCAAACTGGAATCACATATGGTTCAGTGATCGTGTTATCTCCCCAAGCGACTTGGCGGTAGACGTGTCTTCAGACAACGCAATGAAGGTTTTGCACACAACTGCATCATTCAAGCGGACAGATTTGGTGGAGCGAGTGTCATGGTGTGGGAAGCCATCTCATACACCCGCATATCGGAATTGGTGCTCGTCCAGGGCAATCGAACGACCGCTCTATATACCGACCAGATTCTCCGTCCTCACGTGCATCGCCTTGTCGACGGGCAGATGGAGCTGTTCCAACAGGACAACGCCAGACCTCACACAGCACGTGCTACAGTGGATTACCTGGCCATTAAGAACATCAGTGTTCACCCCTGGCCCTCCAGATGCCCGGATCTGAACCCAGTTGAACATCGGAGGGATCAGATCGATAAACGTGTACGTCGAAGTAGCAATCTGCCATTGACACTTCAAGAGTTGTTCAACATGCTGCAGGAGGAATGGGGAAGGATTCCACAACGAAACATCCAACAACTGATTCGATCTGTGCCAAGGAGGTGCCCTGCACCTCTAGCAGTAAGAAGTGGCCATACGAGGTACTACAGTCAATGCCACCTCGTGGACAGCAGTAATGATTATTACGACTGTCATTCTTGTGATATATGCACATTCTTGTGATATATGTGATATATTCGTTGATCTACATGTAACTGAATAAGACCAATTTTTTTCAATGATATTTTGCGTTTGCGTTTCTTATTTTGAAGAGTGTGCTTTCTTCAACATCTAACTGATTTGCCCTGGGGACATACCCAAGAGATCCTGTAAGTTTCATTGAAATCCATCTAGTTCTAGTACCTTTTGAGTAAAGTTGCTAACACATAAATACACACACAAACAGGGTTGAATACATACCCTCTGCAACAAACCTTCGGTTTTGGCAGAGGCAGTTACGATCATAGTAATTATTATGCATGCATATATTATTGAGATTCATGATTTATAATGGTAGTAAAACACACATCACAAGGTACATTTTGATATACTTAACTACATGCCTATGTTGTGATAGGTTTATAAAAAATATGTTTTTCTCACATTGGTGTTGCAGCTCGATTATGGGTACCGATGTTCAGTTACCCCAGAATGACACGTATAATCATCAGAAAAAATGGCACGATGGTTTTCCTGAATCCATAAGCAATACTGATAACATTTATCAGTGGTTCCAAAAAGTAACATGCACGTTCATCGGAAAATATATTTGCTACACAAGCCAATGTACTATAGTATAAAGTTTAGTTTAAACTCGTATTTGTTAACTATTTTTTTAAAATGGCAAAGTTTCTCTTGGTTGTCATTTTAGAATCAAGCAATCATGGTCGGTCCTTGAAAATACCTTCATATTGGTCTGCTAGTGGTGGGGTTATTAGTATACAGCGCTCGCTCGTCACGCCGAAAGTCCAGGCCCCAAATTCTGGAAACAAACTTATGTCTGAGTGTTGACTTAAGTTTGAGTTTTTACTCAAATTTAAGAAAACGCAGGAAAATTCAGTTACCAGAATAAACTGAAATCGGTATTAAACTCAAACATAGTAGACAATTTGAGTTAAGTAGATAGGTTACTTGAGTTGTTTTGGCTTTTTTTATTTTAGAAAATGCAGTTGAGTCAGAAATTCAGCTGTTTCAATTTTAACACTCAGTTTGTAATCTGAGCAAAAACTGAAGTTTGTTTCGAGAAGTCAGAGCCAGGTTTCAATTCCCACATGTGTCTGTGTGAAGACTATTTCTGGTGTCACCCCCGTGACATTGTTGAAGCGTCGTATAACATTATTCACTCACTCATACTGAAAGTGTACAATCGACTCACGTCTAGCATGTCCTGAATACGACGGGCTTCAGGAACAACACTTTGAAATATTGGGCCATATGCGGTTTCATAGGTCAGTAGACTGATCCCCGTCCCTCCCTTTCCTTCCCCATTCTCAACAACTGAATCACTGGACACTGATTCTGTGAAGATATGTGATCGAATTTCGTATCGAATTAAAATCTCAATTTGTTTTATTCAATTTTAAGATTATTTTTCGTTACCCCGCTGTCGCTACTGAACGCTACTGCCACAACTAATTAATCAATTAAAAACTTATATTGATCAGTTTCCGATGTCAGTCTTATCACCCCAAAATCATTTTTCTATCACCAATGACTTCTTCATGACTATTTGGATCTGGAGCATCCTCGTACAACATACCTCTAGTCGAAGAAACACCGATTATTTCATTCTGTTCTGGTCATTATTATACCTATCGCATGGTTGAATGTGAATTCGAAGTTTGTATGCATTTTTTTATTTCCCAATCCGAGCAAAATTTCACATGTGTGGTGAAAGAAGAAGAAAGGTATCCAGTCCTGTTTTGCAAAAATCACGGATGAAATTCCTGGCATTCAGGAAGGATCAGATCAAATTGTTGAACTTCGGTTTGGAAAATCATTTTCAAATATATATGTTCAACTGAAACTGAATTCGGAATGCGAAGAAGATTAAACAATAGATGTGGCATACGGGTATTAGGCGAATGGGTAAGTGTTGGCCTGGAATGGGTAAGTGTTGGCCTGGAATGGGTAAGTGTTGGCCTGGAATGGGTAAGTGTTGGTGTTGGCCTAGAATGGGTAAGTGTTGGCCTGGAATGGGTAGGTGTTGGTGTTGGCCTGGAATGGGTAAGTGTTGGCCTGGAATGGGTAAGTGTTGGCCTGGAATGGGTAAGTGTTGGCCTGGAATGGGTAGGTGTTGGCCTGGAATGGGTAGGTGTTGGCCTGGAATAGGTAAGTGTTGGTGTTGGCCTGGAATGGGTAAGTGTTGGCCTGGAATGGGTAAGTGTTGGCCTGGAATGGGTAAGTGTTGGCCTGGAATGGGTAGGTGTTGGTGTTGGCCTGGAATGGGTAAGTGTTGGCCTGGAATGGGTAAGTGTTGGCCTGGAATGGGTAAGTGTTGGCCTGGAATGGGTAGGTGTTGGCCTGGAATGGGTAGGTGTTGGTGTTGGCCTGGAATGGGTAGGTGTTGGCCTGGAATGGGTAAGTGTTGGCCTGGAACGGGTAGGTGTTGGTGTTGGCCTGGAATGGGTACGTGTTGGCCTGGAATGGGTAAGTGTTGGCCTGGAATGGGTAGGTGTTGGTGTTGGCCTGGAATGGGTAGGTGTTGGCCTGGAATGGGTAGGTGTTGGCCTGGAATGGCCTGGAATGGGTAAGTGTTGGCCTGGAATGGGTAGGTGTTAGTGTTGGCCTGGAATGGGTAGGTATTGGCCTGGAATGGGTAAATGTTGGCCTGGAATGGGTAGGTGTTGGCCTGGAATGGGTAGGTGTTGGCCTGGAATGGGTAGGTGTTGGCCTGGAATGGGTAAGTGTTGGCCTGGAATGGGTAAGTGTTGGCCTGGAATTGCTCACAGGGATTCTACAGAATCAAACACTGTCGAGCATGCTTGTTGTGTTGTGTTATCCTAACAACGTATTTTAAGATCATGGACAGAGGTACATATAAGCTGCGTATCTGCGTAAATTACGCAAATATTTATGTGAAAACTCAATTCCTATTAAGTCTATTGCGTACAAGTACGCTTGAATTTTTGTAAATACTCAATAAATGTGATCTTACATGCGTACACACAAAAATGTCAAATCTTAGCTTGCGTACCGGTGGATAGGTAAAATAACTGAGGTATATTGAGAGGTTCTATTTCAGGATATGAACTTGACAACTTGCAGTCTTTCTTATCGTTTCTGATACTACAGATCAAATATAAATTACAAACACAAACATCTATACTTTATTATATTTTTAAAAATAATAGAAAATGGCAAAATACCCCATTGAGTTTGAGTGAGGTGAGTACAATTTATTTGGTTACTCAAAGGAATATTAGGATACCCAATTGAGATGAACACAAGCGAGTACATAACTCAATGACCCAAAAAGTTATCTGTAGCTCTGTCATGAACGAATGCGAACATTAGCACTAAATGAGCCTACCCATAGGCGGATCCAGAGGGGGGGGGGGGGGGGTGAATGCATGGGTGCGCACCACCCCTATTGTGGTGAAAATGAAGTGTCCTTTTCTCAATAGTGTGCACCCCCCCTTTCTCAAAAAGCTGTATTCGCCCCTACTACCTGTGTTTGTACTGGCAACGTAGGAGATGATACTAATCAGGCTAGTAAACTGCCTTGTAATAGCGTGCGTATCAGGGACGTTTACACAATGCAAGAAGCAGTCACACATCCGGATAAACGCGAACCTGTAAACGATCAGATACCATTAAGTTGTGAATAGTGAGGGAAAAAACAAATAAATGTAAGCCATCACACTTTAATTATCAAGTTATATATTTAAAATGATTTTATTCTAAGAATAACTTTGTTTTGCCGGAAGTCATAGATCTAATTAACTATCGCTTTGCTGGCATATCTTTCGTGACTAACGAATTGGATTTGAAGATTACGAAATGGGTCGAATTGTGTCGAATGATGTACATGTACATTAATAGCATGACCACTCATTTCTGTACGAACCTAATCTCACGTCCTTCATCACGCCAGTAATGCCTGATTACCCTAAGAGTATTTTAACCCTTCGCGTTGGGATTATGTTGTTAAGACACATTGTACTGCAACACGGTCTTCTAATCCGCGATAACCAACTTAGACAAGTATACATGCTAGTATTATTCGCATTCAAATCAAAACATAGCAATATCGTCTTCATTTTCCGTCTTTCAACGGCAGAAGCGTTATAAACACCGAACTAAAGTGAGTGGGATTTTTACCGCATGTCAATATCAGGGTATGGCTGAAATATTGCCGATGTGACGTTAAATAATAACTCACTCACTCACTCAATATCAGGGTAGACTAGGTTTTTGTTTGCTTGTTTCTTGTTTACTGCCTCACTCAGCAGTATCCCAGCTATATATCAGCGGTCTGTAAATAATCGAGTCCGGACCAGACAATCTAGTGATCAACAGCATGAAGAGCGATATATTGGGATACGGTGACATGTGTCCTCCAGGTCAGCGAGTGTGGCGACCGAACACAACATCAGCATGAGACCATCGGTGCATTACTAATGTCATAGACGGGACGATTATATTAGGCCTCTTTAAATACCTTGCCTTTGTTTGCTAATCTGAGATGTTTAAATGACAACAAACAGATACTATTCTGGCGACAGGTCAGATCCTGTAACAACTAAGATAACAATTATAGTGAGTGAGTTTAGTTTTACGCCGCGTTTAGCTATATTCCAGCAATATCACGGCGAGGGACACCAGGAATGGGCTTCACACATTGTTCCCATGTGGGGAATCGAACCCTGTTCTTCGGCGTGACGAGCAAACGCTTTCACCACTAGGCTACCCCACCGCCTCAACAATGATAATAAATGTGACAGTTGGAATTATCGTTTTTATGTCAGGCAGATGTAAATCAATTAACATATATTATTAATTTCATATTTTACACAAAGTGTGATCTTTGAAGTCACGTAATTTCCAGACCATATACCATCTATCACAGGGGAGAGAGTGAGTGGGTTTTTCCCGATTCCATTGTGGTGAGTTTTAGCAAAACTCCACTGAAATGGGCTTGACACAATGTAACCATGTGGGGAATCGAACCTGGGGTTTCGGTATGATGAGCAAATGCTTCAACCACTAGGCTACCCTACCTTCCTAGGATTCCCTTAAGAATGCGAGATGTATCGTTACCTCTCCTGGGTAGTTTTTTAATCAGTCACTCACTTATAGTTTGGCTCAGACAGACGTACATACGTCCGTTATTATTTAACTGGAATTCTGGTGACGATGACCCATGGTATTTATACACTGCTGTACACACAGACATAACCACATTATGTGGCAGGTATGCGAATAAACTCTCAACCTCTAACGTAAGAATTTGTCAGGAATTGTTGCAGTGTTTTTGTCCACCGAAATTATTTCAAATGATTCGAATTTCATTTAAACTTTTCTGTTCAAACGTGCTTCCTTCAGGCACTTGGAGATAATTCAAGTTTGGTAATGATTCGCACAGGTATAACATGAAGTGGTTTTACAACCCCGTGGAGATTCTGGTGTAGAACTGCATCCCAACACATACTGGTCCTGGGCGATGACTAAACTGATCCTGTGGCTAGGCTTAGTGACTTAGTTGGTAGCGCGTTAATTATCGAATCCTCCTCGCGTTGGTAGATGCTCATGCTGTCAATCACTGGGTTGTCTAACCCAGACATAATATTATTGATCGTGTGGCCAGGCTTCGTGACTTGGTTATCGCGTTATTGCACCCCTCTTGCGTTGATAGATGCTCATGATACAGACTTGATTATCTTCAGACAGCTTAAATCTGGACTATGACACAGCATACATACCTTTAGTATTACATTCCGTTATTACAAGAGGTAAAATATATATAGTTTATCATCCCAACTGGGAGTACCATTATTGCAACCATGTTGGTAATCAAACCTTCGGACTGATTAACCGCTAGACTCCACCACCTTATTACCCCATGGGATCACTGTGGAGTAGATAAATCGCTAACCCCGAGGCCGGCTGTTCCTAATTGTCAGTACCCGTGAAGGTCCGGTTAGAATGAACCTTCAGTAACCAATGCTTGTCGTAAGAGGCGACTAACGGGATCGGGTGGTCAGCCTCGCCTGCTTGGTTGACACATGTCATCGGTTCCCAATTACGCAGATTGATGCTCGTGCTGTTGATCACTGGATTGTCTGGTCCAGACTCGATTATTTACAGACCACCGCCATATAGCTGGAAAATTGCTGAATGCGGCGTAAAACTAAACTCATTCACTCACTCCTAATTGTCAGGTAACTGTACCTTGTTCCCGTTCCAGACGAGCCTCCGCTGTTCAACAGCCCTGCCCCTTTAGGCACCACTGTGGTTGACGTCAGCGAGGACACGAGTATCGGGGACGTCATCTACACCGTGGATGGGACGGACGATGAAGGTGACACTCTGACCTTCACACTTGACACTCACGCTGATGTGTTCGAGTTTGCAGGAACTGACCTGAAGACACTCAAGCAGCTCGACCTTGAGACAGTGTCGTCATATGACATTACCATTAGGTAATATTCTAAAAACATTTTTAACAGACAAAACAACACTTTATTCACATGAACAAGTCGGGTTTTTGTGGTTGTCATTATAATCCTTAGCAACATACTTACGTTGGGAATACTTTTACTTCAAATGTTGAACAGACAAAAACATATGACAACAAATGGGTAATTTTCAATATCATATGAAATAACAAAGGCAAGCATTCCAGTTCCATACAATCGATGACTGTAGTGGTCAGATAGGAGCTATAACTGGATTAATTCAAGGTTAACCTCTCACCTCACTAGTACTTTCAGTCATATGTGAAACCCTGCTATTCCAAGTTGGTCACGCCAGTCAAATTTTGTTGTAACATAAAAATCTTTCCGGTTACTTCTGTATTCGCATCTTAACTTTTGTAGTCGAATTCGAACTATTTACTGACGTTTCAATCGTTCAGCCATCATTCTAGCTAGTTACAGATAGCATTCGTCGTCAGGTGGGAACACCTTTACAGCGTTGCAATTCCATTTGTCCATTGTGGTTACGTCCATACCTGTGCGTTCACATTTGAGCCTTGCTGTCGAATACCTGTGTATTTACATTGGAACAATTGTATATCGTTTCAACAATCACAGTCATATACGTAGAGAGAGAATTCAGACATTTGAAACCCCGCAGTCATATCTGAACCATTACAGTAGACAGTGACATTTGTAGTCACATTTGTGCATTTCAACCGCTGCAGTCCGACCTAAAACCTGTGGCTTCTTGTCACATTTATACCATGATTGCTAGCACATTGAAATGACATGAATTCTTGTTCACATTTGAAACCTTATAGCCACATTTGAACCCTTGCAGACACATCAGTCGTATTTGAAGCCTTGAAGTCACATATGATCTCTTGAAGGGACATCCGGACCATTATAATAGCAATTGTAACCTGTGAAGTCATATCTGGAATATTGAAGTCACATATGATCGCTTGAAGGGACATCCGGACCATTATAATAGCAATTGTAACCTGTGAAGTCATATCTGGAATATTGAAGTCACATATGATCGCTTGAAGGGACATCCGGACCATTATAATAGCAATTGTAACCTGTGAACTCATATCTGGAATATTGAAGTCACATATGATCGCTTGAAGGGACATCCGGACCATTATGATAACAAATGTAACCTTTGTAGTCATATCTGGACTATTGAAGTCACATTTCAAACTTTACAGTAACACTGTTCCCCGTATGTTTGTGTTCATTCTTCTCTAGCATGTCCGACGGTCGGAACACCCAGCAGGCGATGATGACGGTGCGAGTTACCAATGTCGTTGACGAGACGCCGGTGATTACGTTGTCAGGGACGTTGTCCATCCCGGAGGAGATGGCAGTGGGCAGCGTGGTCAGCAACCTCTTCACCGTGGACGACAAAGACGACGGGGACACACTGACGTATGCAATAAGTGGTGAGATATAATATTTAGCGGATCAACAAGATAGTGTTTGAACAGCGTGACTCAATAATGGAAAAAATGAGGCCTCGAACATCTCACGCCATGTGTCTTCCAGACCAAAGAAATAATTGAAAATGTTCAGCTCCAGTGTAGAGGGATTATGCGATTGCCTCAGCTTAAAATTACGCATTGTTTCCCTCTCGATGGAACAATGTCGTTGCTTGATCCTTTGGTTACAAACAGCGGCTGAATCCCACCGTGGCCATGGCGTAGTGTATACAACCTGTTAAGTGTGAGTGAGTGTAGTTTTACGCCGCTTTTTGCAATATTCCAGCAACATCACGGCGGGGGACACCAGAAATGAGCTTCATACATTGTACCCATGTGGGGAATCGTACCCGGGTCTTCGGCGTGACGAGCGAACGCTTAAACCACTTGGCTACCCCACCGCCCCTACCTGTGACATATTCACATGGTAGAGTAATAGGGTGTCCAGTGTGGATAGTTATAGGATGGGAGAAAGGAGCGATTCCAAACCACGGTGGTAATCTGGTGAGGTGAAGGTCATGGTTTGGATCGTTATTCACACTATCGACCACCGGCGTGAGGGAGTGGCCATTCAACTGTCTGAAGGTCCGGGTTAGAATTGATCTTCAGTCACCCATGCTTGTAAGATGCACCCACACTGATGTCATTGTATCCCAATTGCGTAGATTGGAATGGAATCTTGGTGTGTGAAGCGTGAAGCTAAACTAACTCACTCTGTCTCTGTTTATTTGTTGCAGGTACTAACAGCGCACACTTCACCATCGATGCAAACTCTGGGGTTTTGACAATTGCCGACAGAATTGATCGGGACCAGGCGGCCTTGATCTCCGTGACCTTTGACCTACAGGTGACCGACAGTAACAGTTTGCAGGCGACGGAGACTGTCACTGTGACGATTGTCGACATCAACGACAACGACCCAGCGTTCACGTCAACGTCCCATACAGTGAGTGTGGCCGAAAACACAGCTGCCGGTAGGTATAAATACAGTTTTGTGTGGATTGATGTATTTCAGGTATACAGTGAGGGGAAATGGGTTTTAACGTTGAGTTATTACACTTGTCCAAGTTTCCACTCCGATCTCCACTGAATAAAAGCCCCAACTTTCTGAAGTGGTAAAGAGTATATTTATCTCTCTGAAGGCTAATTCGTTATTACACGCTTCTCATCATTATGATAGACACGTCTGCTATGGCTGTACAGAGTTGCGTCCCTTGCAGAGGCGTAGCTACCATTATAAAAAAAACCCGGGCTTACACATGAATGCTGCTAAAAAGGTGGGGCAAGGCCTCAATACTAATTTGAATTTGAAGTCACATTAATATAAAGCTTTGCAACCTATCGGGCTTACACGAAGAAAATGGCTTGCTACGCGCCTGCCTGGGGTACAACAGAATCCCTTGACAAGCATCCGTCCTGATTCAACACCATTCCGTGCTCGTGTGTTTCACCTATGTGCTGAACGTCTAAGACTTGCTTCAGTTCGAGCGTTCCTACACATCAAACTGACACACCGAGATAGTATTGGATCAATGTCCAACCTCTTAATTGCTGGCATTGAATGTGTCGGCGTTAGGAAACATATTTGTTTCTGACATTTTGGGGAGTGTCTGGTGCTATAAGTAGAGCAAGACTTGATTCAACATTCTGGAGTATAAACCAGTTGTTTGATGATGCAAACCCTTCCTTAATTTGGGCGTGTTATCCATTCAACTGATTCCTTTACTGGTGTGTTTATCCATCCATTCGCCATTCACCGTTACTTAACAAACACAGATATGACGGACTCCGGGGATCCATACTGGCAAATTACGCATTTTGTCGACATTTTGGGTATCAACAAACAAATGTGTAAATCTGCGTCTCTTAATTGGCAGAAAGCGTCGGATATGACAAACTGCAAATAAAGTTCAGTATTTTCGGGTAGAGTTGTGTTGCAGTGAAGAAGGTTGACGTTTTGAGGCGTGTGAGCTTCCGTTGGATGGAAGCGTGGATTGATACAAATCTTTGACGTTTGTTACGTTTGTGAAACCCACGAACGCAACCTAGAAACATAGTTGAGAAGATTCGAACCCACGAGCACAGGTATCTGACAAACGTTAGATGACGCAACTCTCCACGGAAGTTGTGGCAGTCGGGACTACTAGGCCCACTGTATCATGAAAGAAGAAATGAATTTTGAAACATGAAAGAACAGGTTTCATTGCTTTCGTCTCGACTCAATGTTGTTACATATTAAAGTTGTGTATGGCCATTAACATATCATGCCACCCATTACATTGCACCCCAACTGGTACCCAGCAACCATAGATTGTCGTGCGGGGTGATTTATTGGATCCAGAGTCCAACCTTCCTCACTTCGTCTGTATCACCTGATAGTTTACAGGTTCCCGTCATATATGCTGGTTCGCTATTGCAAAGGGCGGTCTTTAACCACAAAAAATGCAAAATAATTTCGTAGATTTCATTAGACCTTTACCCAAAAATACATGCAACAGCTAATACAGTCAAGTTGCCACAGACACGTCAGTACTGGATTTCACTGTGAGCGACGCCGACGACGGAACAAACGCTGCTTACAGCATCGCAATTGAGGCTGGCGATGACGTTTCTCCCAAGTTCAAGGTCACCGGAAACCAGCTTCAGACAGAGGCTAACGCTCTGGATTATGAATTGCTGTCTGGCACTGGGTTTATGTACACTCTGACAGTTGTAGCCATCAACGACGACAACATCAGGACGGGGACGACAACAGTTACAATCAAGGTAAAAATAGTCTAGAGTTTAAAGTTTCACTCACCACGCAGAACACCTAGGTTTTATTCGCCTCGCGCGTAAAGTATGTAAAGCAAATTCCTGTTATTCTTAGTGAATGCTGAGACGTAAATCACTCGCTCACTCAGTCAATCAGTCATCGTGATTTTTTACAGATAAATAATGAATTATGTTTGTGTTATAGGAGTAATGACACTGACACCATTTCATTAGAGTATGAATTATTATTAGTGGTGAGCGCTATTCAAAAGATGAATGCATGTTTTGAGCATTAAACAATTTCTCCCCCAAAGAAAAGGTCTAAATCCACATTCACTCTCCATAGTTTAGTCTGATATCAACGTTATTGAAGATTGCAAACTGTGTCAGTTCTATTGTTCAAACCTAGGTTCACGAATACCATGGATATTCGAAACCAGTTGCCCATATTCTCACTGACAGAATAAAGAGACTAGCATTAGCTCAAGTTTATTAGCGTATTTGGCATGCACTTCGGGGCAAATGTAAGTGTGCACTCGAAAACTAAATTTGAAAAACAAAACAAAGGAACGAAAAACAAATCACAGAAAATACCTGAAAAGCAAGCAGCATACTTGTGAATTTGAAGTCACATTAAAAATCACTCTTTGGAACACATTCCCAAAACACATGGGTCCCCTTTCACGAACCGATCGCAGCTCTACGACGGTCGTAAGTGTGTGTTACTGTAGGAGTTAAGTCGTAGCGCCACGATCGCTTCGTGAAAGGGGCCCAGGTGTGTACATTAGTGTGTAATCCACTTAGTATTCTAACCACGTGTAAGTGGTAGTGTTGGGAATTGGTTAAAATCTCATAATTGATGATTGGTTCATTACTACCGATCAATCATCGAAAATCATTGGTTAGCGTCATTTATGAAATTTATTTATGCACATAAAAATAAGGAAAAAAACTATGTAGTTCTTTTGGTTTTTTTTGGCAAAATGTCATATCTTTAAAGGTTAGGAACATAAATTTCTTTGAGTCTTTAAGATAAATTCAATCATGACTTGAAACGAGCTTGTAGTGCTTACGAATATAACAGACAAAACCAACCTTGTGAAAAATATCGTTAATTAAAACAAGTGTTCCAGAATTTTTTGTGCTCGATTATGACCAATCTTCGATTATTTCAATTAATCGGACCACCACTAGTAAGTGGTGTGGCAGATTGTGGCTTCCACTCGCCATACCTGGCCCGATGGCCCAAATTTACATTCGTGGAATACTGCTCAATGTAATCCCATACTCACTCACTCATTCACTCACCCAATCACTCACTCACTCACTCACTGGTTGTCATTGAAGACACCAATGCCACTCTCTCTTATTATATGATTAATTCTTTTGTTTGATCTTTACCTCTCAGGTGACTCCAGAAAATGAATTTGACCCGGTGTTTGACACCCCTTCAGTGGATGGCTCCGGTCAGTTTCCAGCGGCGACTTTATCAGAGGACGCCCCCGTCAACGACGAAATCTCCTTCAACGCCTCCGACGCCGACCTGGGAGTTGACGGCGATGTCACATTCTCCCTCGTCTCCGTGCTGGACTGTGAGTCGTTGCACAGCACAGGCCCCCACTGCGGGTCAGAAAATCGATAAACTAGGCCCCGGTTTAGTATCAACACCCCCTACTATATAATATATAAAGGTTCATCACAGAAATACGGTGACAGGATCGAAAACCGGACAATTACGCACATGCCAATGAATATATCGTATTTTAAAAGTCTCACAAGTATCAAAAGCTTTTGTCCATATCTCCGATGTATGTAGGAGGCATATACATGCGCTTTCCGTGGGGATGCATTTGATGGGTTTTATTAAATCGCCAAATACCGAGTTGCTGTGCCGGAAGTATACAAAACTAGCTCGTCAGCGCTTGACTTCACTACCTCCGGCGATCTGATTGGCTAACACATTACACTGAATGAATGTGTTTCTTTAAAAAATATTTGTACTCGTTTTTAAAATTATTCTTACCAAGATAAAACATCAGATAGTGACATCTTGGATGATAGACGTTTGAGTTTCCCTCTCATTTTCGCACGTGCATTTGTTGTCATTTTATTAACCCATTTGATTGCGCTGACGAGCTAGTTTTGTACACTTCCGGCACAGCAACTCGGTCTTTGGCGATTTAATAAAACCCATCCCCACGGAAAGCGCATGTATATGCCTCCTACATACATCGGAGATATGGACAAAAGCTTTTGATACTTGTGAGACCTTTAAAATACGATATATTCATTGACATGTGCGTAATTGTCCGGTTTTCGATCATGTCACCGTATTTCTGTGATGAACCTTTATATATTATATAGTAGGGAGTTGAAACAGATATAAGGAATATTCCTGCCAAATAACGGCGTGGGACATAAAGAAATTCTTTCACACATTCTACCTGTGTACACAATGCTTCCTTCTTGTAAGCAGGACTTAGCAGTGGAGAGCGTTCCTTAAGCATGAAAGAAAACCATAATGTATGAGTGAGTTTAGTTTTACGCCGCACTCAGCAATATTCCAGCTATACGGCGGTTGTCTGTAAATAATCGAGTCTGGATCAGACAATCCAGTGATCACCAGCATGAGCATCGATCTGCGCAATTGGGAACCGATGACATGTGTCAACCCAGTCAGCGAGCCTGACCACCCGATCCCGTTAGTCGCCTCTTACGACAACCATGGGTTGCTGAAGATCAATTCTAACCGGACCTTCACGGATCCCATAATGTATGACCACAAAGTTGTTTCTACGTGGTTCAGCATCAACCGGGTTCATTGATTTAAAGGGGCGGTGGGGTAGCGTAGTGGTTAAAGCGTTGGCTCGTCACGCCGAAGCCCCGGGTTCGATTCCCCACATGGGTACAATGCGTGAAGCCCATTTCTGGTGTCCTCGCCGCGATATTGCTGGAATATTGCTAGAAGTGGCGTAAAACCAAACTCAGTCATGAATTTAAATGGTTGCATTCAGCGATGTTCCAGGTGTAAGGCGACGGTCTGTAACGATGACATGTGTCAACTACGTCAGCGAGCCTGAGCACCTGACCCCGTTAGTCGCCTCTTACCACAAGTAGAGATTGCTGAAGACCAATGTTACACGGGCTCGTGGATTTATAAAAAGTTGTAAACATCTTACGCCTGTTTCTCTTCAGGCTTTCCATACAAATGTATCTGTCGCGCCGTCATGTAATGAATGCAGTCAGGACCTCGTTCAACCCCCTATGGGGAACGTCATCATAACTTGGGAAGTGCTCAAAAACATAATTGATTCTTAATCTGCAGCTAACGGTGCTGACGCAAGTTCAAAGTTCACCATTGATGCTACTTCGGGAACGATGAAAACCCTTGAACTGCTCGACAGCGACACAGCGACGGGGGGCGTGGATTATTTTGACATCACAATCAGAATAACTGACGCAGGAAGCACCCCCAAAACCGCTGACGGGACAATACGGTTGACGTTAACCAACGTCAACGACAACGCCCCGACGTTTGACTCGACCTTCTACAGCGCTAGTGTCAGTGAAGACGCCGCTGTCGGGGATAGTGTTGAAGCTGTTGCCGCAACGGATAATGACGGCGACGCCATTACATACACCGTGGAAGGCAGCTGGGCAAGCACTTTTGAAATTAGTGGAACTGACGTTGTCACCAAGGCACTGATGGATTATGCCACAAATGCTTTCTATGTAATCACTGTAAGGTAAGGCTAACTGAATAATGGAAACATATTCCGAAATCGCAGTGTCGCCATGACAACAGACACCCCGAGAAGACCCACAACATCGCGTTTATAACTGTCTAACTCCACCCCAAGGTGCAACTTGATTGTTTTAGTACGATATTAATATATGCAGTTTTATTGAAACTCGAATAAGGCTAGATATAAGTTACTGAAAATGTTTTTCTAAATAGCAACAGGAATTGAGTTACAGGGGGATAATGAAAATACCCCGTGGTAAGAACATTGTAGGAACAGGAGACAAAGATTCGACAAAGATGATTGTTCTTTCTTGTAACATAAGTAGATACACTCGGAACAAGTAGACAAAGCGACTCGGAGGTATCTCGGGATACACTCAGACCAGTTGTTCTCCCTGTATAACACTGAGACAACTCGACTCGGAGGTACCTCGGAACCGAATAGTTTGTTTCAACTTCAAACCATTGCACGGCAGTCTGTAAATAATCGGTTCTGAGACAGGGATGGACCACATGCCCTCGTGTCTTTGCGAGGATTAAATATAAAAAAAATGAGATGACCCCCGGCTCAAAATGTTTCACAGTACAATAAATCATGACATTTCGAGTCGGGGGTCATCTCAAATTTTTAAATCTTTAATCGCAAAGACACGAAATGTGACATGAGACTGACCACCCAATTCTCCACAGGCAAAATTCATGTGTTTAGAATCAGGAAACCTTTCACAAATCAATATGAAGCTGTCAGATGTGTTCGTTTGTGTGAGATGTATCAACTTCACATGTTTTGGAATTGTACAGAAACGAAACAAATGCTTTCATGCAAATATATGCCAAAACGGCTTTTTAACGAAGCGTCTGTTTCTTGCAAGATGTAGATACTAAATGACAAAAGACAATCTTGGACATTCCCTGTTTTATGTGCAAATTTGTGTGAGTTGTTGGTTGTCCCTTGAGAGCAGTATATGCTTTACTAACCTTTCAAAGAACATTGAACACCATCAGTGAATCAATTCATATGATTTTCACCGTTTTTCAATTTTTTTCTCGAAACGAAATCTAACATTGCCAGTGGATCCAAAATGGCTCCCTAACTTGCCCATCGAAACATATACAACCGACAATTAATCAAGCTACAATAACCGATAACGTATTTTGTTTGTGTTTTTGTCCTTACTAATTCTCAAAATTCGGCGTTATTAATGAGCAGAAGATTGCTGCATCATCCTTGTTTGTAAAGACCCGAACATGTTTCAATGCTTAGTTCATCACTGCAGGGCCGATGACGGGACGTTCCAGACAGACACGTTGATGACGGTGAGTGTAGTGCAGGTGGTGGCAGCGACGTTCCAGATCACTGCTAAGGCTGACGTGGAGATACGCGAGGAACAAGGCCAGGGGACGGTCATAGCGGGTGTGTACAAGACCGCCGGCAACTCAGGGAGTGTCACTTACACACTGGAAGGTGAGTATCAGGTCACCACTTTGTTGTCACGTACACACCGGAGGGTTAGTATCAGGTCACTACTTTGTTGTCACGTACACACAGGAGGGTGAGTGTCAGGTCACCACTTTGTTGTCACGTACACACCAGAGGATGAGTGTCAGGTCACCACTTTGTTGTCACGTACACACTGGAGGGTGAGTATCAGGCCACCACTTTGTTGTCACGTACACACAGGAGGGTGAGTTTCAGGTCACAACTTTGTTGTCACGTACACACAGGAGGGTGAGTATCAGGCCACCAATTTGTTGTCACGTACATACAGGAGGGTGAGTTTCAGGTCACAACTTTGTTGTCACGTACACACAGGAGGGTTAGTATCAGGTCACTACTTTGTTGTCACGTACACACAGGAGGGTGAGTGTCAGGTCACCGCTTTGTTGTCACGTACACACAGGAGGGTGAGTATCAGGTCACCACTTTGTTGTCACGTTCACACAGGAGGGTGAGTTTCAGGTCACAACTTTGTTGTCACGTACACACAGGAGGGCGAGTATCAGGCCACCACTTTGTTGTCACGTACACACAGGAGGGTGAGTATCAGGCCACCACTTTGTTGTCACGTACACACTGGAGGGTGAGTTTCAGGTCACAACTTTGTTGTCACGTACACACAGAAGGGTGAGTATCAGGCCACCACTTTGTTGTCACGTACACACAGGAGGGTGAGTATCAGGTCACCACTTTGTTGTCACATGCACACTGGAAGGTGAGTATGATGTCACCTTGTATATATGTGTACCTGCATATATCTGTACCTGTGTATATGCATACTTGCCTACCGTATGCATGTATAGCCAGGTACCTTTGTAGATGTATAATTTACCTGTATATATTTGTACCCATGTATATGTATACCCGTATGTATCTTCTATTTACGTATATATTCATACCGTATATATTTATGTGTCACTGTACCCGTGTATATTAAAACCAATGCACCTGTATACCTGTGTAGGTACTAATGCCAACATGTTGTCGGTGGATCCTGTTTCCGGTGAAATAAGCTACAGTTCCGAACGCATTGACCGCGACGGTGGCGGCATGACCACGTTGTCGGACATCACCTTGAAGGGAGTGGACGGCCTCGGCGCCGAGTCTACAGCAGCACTCAGCTTCATCATCACCGACATAAACGACAACGCCCCTGTAGCTACTGACATGGCCCCGACAGTACAGGTTCAGGAAAACTCGGCCAGTAGTAAGTTCCTCAACAATGTTCCTTTCATTACTGATTCCTTTCTGTTGAGTTCTAAACTTCCGGTGGCACAGTCACCTAGGGCGCTGCAATACGATTTGCGTCCCTTGTGCGCGCCAGGAACCTATAATCCTGGGTTCAAATCTCAGATCACCCTGATAATGTTTCTAGATATTGTCGTAACTGGCGTTTGGGTGTTAGTAAACCCTGCCCCAGTTATCTATTAATTATGGTCGTTCCACATTGTTCGGGGAGATGGTAGCTCTGGCGCTCCACTCGCTTGGTCCCTTGCAGGATGCTAAGTCAAGGAGTGAGGGTTCGGACGACCGTGGCTCCTAATTAACCACATAACATTCATGTACTGGCACACATACATTCAAAGATAAACGCAACACCAAGTTTATACTCACATAGTTTTTACTCTGTCTCAGTCCATCTCTCTAACTACAACTTCAACATCAGACAGGGCAGGTTCGTACCACACGGGGCAACTGAGTGGCGTGGACTGGCTTCCGTCACTAAAAAGCGCGCACCACTCGCTCAGTGCCCAACCTGTCTTTTTATATGGTTCGAGCCTGGCCAGATCCTGATCACACATGTTTCAACTAATCGTTTTGATTCGGTTAGCCTGTATCCGACCTTGCACTCATGAATATTACGATTGGAAAAGTACCGGTAAGAATCGTTCGGTCACTCTCCTCTTTGTTGTTTGTTTCAATATAAGATTAATCTGTTATGTCTTTCACAAGAATGTGTTCTGTCTCTCTTTCCATAGCCTACGGCTAAACGCCATTCTGTGGAAACTTTCCGTCTCCATACCGTGCCTAACCGTTATGACTCATGAGCAAAACTGCAAATCTAAATACGAATCTGATGTAATTCTCTCATGGTTTTTGGGATGCATTTTTACCTTATAACAATATGTCAACACTATACTTGTGCCTGTTGCTTTCAGCAAAGTTATGAAGCCTGTCTCACTTCGGCTTCTTCACCCACGTCAAGTGTACACGGTCATGGAACTGGAATATTGTTTAAAACCCTTAACCCGAAGTCACCACTCACTAACATTACCTCTTGGCTTTGAAGAGATTTCACGACATGTAAACCATATCTAACACGGGCTTATTTACCTTCAGATCAGCAGATTCTGTCGCTGACAATGAACGATGCCGATGACGGTGCCAACGCTGTCGTCACCATCAGCATCGACAGTGGAGACACAGATAACGTGTTCAGCATCACAAACCATGATCTCTACGTCAACGGTGGTAACGTGGACTACGAAGCCCTGCCTGCGTCCAAGACCTACAGCCTGGTATTATTGGCCGTTGACAATCCGACGACAGCACGCGCTTTGACGTCAGCCATACGCGTCACCGTTGAGGTGAGTGAGTGAAATACCCACCGTTTTAACAGTCTTTCAGGTATGTCTTGGCGTGACATCTTTATACGGGAGAAGACTAGTGTCTGTTAAAGGCCGTATCGGCGTATGTATTGATACAAAATAAGCACGATACGACAGGAAATAATTTAGGAAACGTAGCAGATACGCACCATAGCAATGATGTATGGTCTTAGAATCATGTACAGGCGTATTTATCTGAAAAATTATTGTTTTATTGTATATTGACGTGTTTACACAAGAGTAGCAATGTTGTGGTAAATATATGAAACGAAACACAAAATTACTGATACACCATTAAATTCAATTCAGTATTCTAAATGTACTCCTAAGTTTTTCCAGTACTCCTATATTGAAAAAAAAAAGGAGTACGTACTCCTGATGTTGAAAAGTTATCTGGAGCCCTGTGGCCGTTTGCACATGTCGGACGTAGCTAACATCAGGCGTAACACACTACGTCGGGCTTAGCAGCGCCCTCCTCTTACGCGTAATGCATAACGTCGGTGAAGCCTAGGCGTTACTACGCCCGACATATGCATACGGCCACTGATGTTTATCACATTTTCTGAAACCTACATCTGTAGATGTAGTGTTGTCAAGCCTAGACACATGACCAAGGCCAATCGGGATTAGAACTCGGAATATGGCGCTTTTCAGCGTCCCGTAATTTAATGTTCTTGCTGTCAGACTGAACGTTTTGTTGTTTATATTAATTGATTTGATTAAATTAAACTATTACTGCACTTGTTAAACATGTGATGTCATAAACATGTTTAATCAATAATTGTCTGGCATGATGTTTTCATGCTTATGACTTGCTGAACCTACTGTTTTTTCGTTTTGAATCTTGGAACATATGAAACAGAAACGGGCTTGCTTGTCTCTTTTGTAATCTTTCAGCGGAAGGGTAGTTTACAGTCAGTGAACGATATCGGTATACTTTAAGCGTAAGTTTAATCTCGTAGCTAAATTTCGATGTTCAGATTTTGCGAATCCGAGCACAACTTCCCATCCATATGCTCTAAAGTAACAGGTGATAAAAATTGAAGCACTGTTGGTGGTCGTATGAATGTCTACAAGTCGTAATGTCTTTTCCCAAATGTTACGTAGATGTATTTTATGAGGAACCCCGGAATTTCACATTTTGCTTTCTGAGTAAACTTCAGATGACATTTGCTTTATTTCTGACAAATTATGTTGCAGTCAGCATTCATGACCAGCATACTTATTTATTCTGACATTGATGCGGGTGTTTGTAGAGTTTGTTCGGAGACTTTTATTTTTGTAGGTTCTGGGTGAGAACGAGCACGACCCCTCATGGACGTCCCCAACCCCCGGGGCCGGTTCCACCTTCCCTGAAGTGACCATCGAGGAGTCTGCCACCCTGGGGCAGACGGTGGAGACGTTTGTAGCCACTGACGACGATGGCGGCGATGACGGAGTGATCACATACAGCGTCCTTGACATTAAGAACCGTGAGTGGTGGTTTATGCAAAATACACTTGAGAAGTGGATTCGACCAAAATAATCCAAACGTTATCATAAACGTCACTAGGATAATAACCGACCACCGAGACATAACAAACTAAAGATCCCACACAAACTATGATACCCGTCAAATACATCATAGCCCCAAATGTAAAATGTGTTACGTCATAGTGCAGGGCGCCAGATAATTTTTCAACATCAGGAGTACGTACTCCTTATTTTTTCAATATAGGAGTACTGGAAAAACTTAAGAGTACATTTAGAATACTGAATGGAAATTAGTAATCAGTATTCTTGTGTTTCGTTTGGTATATGCACCACAACATTACTACTCTTGTGTAAACAGGTCAAAAACAATAAAACAATACTTTTCATATAAATACGTCAGACTCTGTAAAAATGACTCGTACACCATTGCTGTGGTGCGTATCTGCTACGTTTTCAAAATTATTTCCTACCGTATCGTGCATATTTTTTATCCGTACATACATCGATACGGCCCTTATCTGGAGCCCTGATAGTGGATTAACCATTTCCTGGTTATGTCAATTTTCATCACCATCAAGCATGGATGTATACTTTCTGCCGCCCTGAATCATATACCATGTCGTCTTAATTAGGAGATGGATACCAACATATATAAGAGGCAACCCCCGACACGTCTTACTCCTCGACCACATGCACAATGTCACGTGTAAATATACTCATGGAAACAAATAAGGGAACACATGAAAGCAAAAGTGTTCCTATATTCCTTTTTAGGTTCCCTCCCATGCTTTGTATTACACCGCCTCCGTGGTGTAGTGGTTAGAGCGTCCGCCCGGAGAGCGGAAGGTCGCGGGTTCGATCCCCGACCGCTTCATACCAAAAGACGTTAAAATATGGTACTTGTTGGTCCCTGCCTGGCGCTCGGCATTAATGGGTACAACAAGGACTGGTCGGCTCAGAGTCAGTATAATGTGTCTGAGTGGGGTATTCATGCTTCACTGCGGCATGGTATCTCTGTGAGCTAGCACTATAAAACCAGCTTCAGTCTGGGCTAGTACAAGCAGCCGCACATACACATACGCATGCACGTCGTCATATGAGCGAAATATTCTCAAGCACGACGTTAAACCCAATTTCACCTCACCTCACCTCACCTTTGTATTGCACTGTTGGTGAAAAGCATAAAGGAACACGTGTCCTTTCATGTGTTCCTTTATTTGTTTCCATGAGTATATATCGCGAACACCTTGTGTCATAACTCATTTTCAGTTGTTCATGTTTCATTTCTATTGTTGGTATAGCTGCACGTTTTGAAGCAGGGAACCCCCCAAAAATGTGATGCTTCAAAATTAATACAAACTCCAACACATAGAACATGAGATGTAGGTTCCCTCACTTGACTTCGTGGATGTTCCCTGCTCCAGCTTCCGGAGTGAGTGTCACAGGCAAGTTTGAGATGACGACAGACGGGCGTCTGGTGGTGGCGTCCCTGCTGGACTACGACGCCGACACTGGTGGAGTGGACTACTACACCGTCACCGTCGCCGCCAGCGACAGCAGCACCACCAGCGTAAAGAGCACCACCGGCGACATCAAGGTCATTCTGGAGGATGTTGAAGTGGAGAATGTCATCAGTAAGTGTTCTGATCACGGAGAGGGCGGTAGGGGTGGCTACAATTGCACGGGTGAGATTCCTCACATACATGTACATACATGTGTGGGATCCTTGGTGTTTGATGGCGGAATATTAAAAGCTAGCCATCACGGGGATGCATAGATGTGCGTGATGGTGAAGCTGAAGGCAATGAACAACAAACCACTTTACGCGTGTCTGATTCCTTATATCCTGTTCTCACGAGAGTAACATGATCATGTGAGGTATTTTGCGGTCATTAACGTGGCTTGACTTCGCGAGGGGGACTTGTCTTCATGATGGTAGCTTCTTCTCCTCAGAGTGGAAATTAACTTGTGCAGGGGGGATAGTTTTTTTAGAAAGGGGGAAGGGGGGGTGCACACTTCATTTTCACCCGTTTTCACGAGAGTTTCAATGGTGTTTACATAAACTTTCAGGACAAAAGAGGGGTACGCACCCCTGCAAATCACCCCCACCGCCACTGGATCCGCCTATGTTGTGAGTGCACCTCGTCTGTATCAAAGCATATTGTCTTTAGACACACCAAGCGAAACACGCACGCACGCACATTGCTAGTTAATGACCTGCCTGTTTTGTCTTAGTCGTGCCCCAGGTGGAGGCGGCAGATGAGTCTCAGCTGTGGGTGATGAGGGCGTTCGTGGCCGTCCTCGCTGTCGGCGTCGTCGTTCTTGCTGGTGTCATGCTCAAGGGTATTCTGTAAGTATAACATTATCAAAACTGTCGCCTCATCTCGGTTTCGCTACAAGTTAGCAAAGTTGTCAGACATGAGAGGGCACAGCTAGGCTGCTGAGACGCCAGAAACCAACGTGCAGTTGTCTCACAGACTGGCACTAAAGTGGTAACGTTATAATGCTGGCTTTTCTTTCAAAATTCAAACTCACCCACCCACCATACAGTGATCTCAGCGCTGGGACGTACGTCTATGTTTAACTGCGATCACCTAAACACCGTGGTCGCTTTGTGTAACGGAGCCTAGGACACAGTTGCTGTCACAGTTTGAGTCAAGGGAAATAACGCAATCACACTGAAATAGATGCCCAATCAAATCAAACTCAAACGGACATTGATCGTAAGATGTGAGCTCACTTCCGTTAATGAAACTCGCTGGTGAATGGAACCAGGGTATTTGTCTAATGGAAGGGAGGCTCAACACCACGGAATGTCGAAGATATGAGATCACTTCCGTTAATGAAACTCGCTGGTGAATAGAATAAGGCTGGGACGGGTACTCGGGTACTCGAATCCGGGTCGGGTACAGCTGGAATCGAGTCCTATTTCTAGGAATCGAGTATCCGGAAAGGGAGAGAGCTCTGTAATGACATGGGCAGACAATAGCTTGTCTTTTTCATTTTTGACGTAACACACAGTTACATCATTGAGTGAGATAGTGAGTTTAGTTTTACGCCGCACTCAGCAATATTTCAGCTATATGGCGGCGGTCTGTAAATAATCGAGTCTGGACCAGACAATCCAGTGATCAACAACATGAGCATCGATGTGCGCAATTGGGAACCGATGACATATGTCAACCAAGTCAGCGAGTCTGACCACCCGATCCCGTTAGTTGCCTCTTACGACAAGCATGGGTTACTGAAGATCCATATTCTAACCCGGAAATTCACGGGTTTTTACATCATTGGTATTGTCCGATTAATGGAGCATAGTTTTAATGACTGTAATTTATCTGTGCATGAGCAGTAAGTAGTTAAGTTACAATAGCAGCAGGAACAAAACGTTCGTTGTTATAACCAGGAATGTATAGGTGTTACTCTCTATATTGGTTAAACAGACGTAAATTAAATAGCTTGAGGTCAGTTTTAATGTCTTGTTACCAACTGTTCAAGTTTTCTACAATAATCTCTGTCAAATCGTGATTGAATATTCGGAAAGTTGACCCGAATGTATTTCTTACATTTCCGGGTACTCGATTCCGATTCGGGTACGTACATGCGGGTACCCGATTCCATTGTTTCCTACTCGTCCAAGCCCTAGAATGGAACCAGGGTATTTGTCTAATGGAAGGGAGGCTCAACACCACGGAATATCGAAGATGATAACTAATTAATTTGTTTCAAATCTGTTTCAGAGCAAATTCTCCTTCGTCAGCATCTGTAAGAAGTAAGTATATGCAGCATCGTGTCTATTTCTTCTGGTTGAGTATAAGGGACTGGCTGAATATCTTATGGCTTACAAAGTTTTACTTACGAATTAGCTTGGACCCACGAAAATGTAAAAGAGCAAGAGCTTGTGAAGGTCGGTTTTCATGCGTTTTACAAAGAAATTGTTTAGCGGAAAGGTATCCATGAAAATACTGCTTGAAGCGATGGCATGCTAACTTGAGTAGTCAGGCGACGTTAAGGTCGATTGTGGCAGAGAACTGGCTGACTGAGTTTGGTTTTACGGTGCTTTTAGCAATATTCCCGCAATATCACGGCTGGGGACACCAGAAATGGGCTTCAC